TATATTTCATACTACAAGAAAGAAAGCATAATGTAAAAAGTTATCCAGTGAAATAATAGTACACAATGTCATGCATATGTACCATAAAAGAAATATGTGAAACAAGGTTTAATATGCAAATGAAAATCACTACAGTTGAAATTATACATACATATATACAAAAAGATACAAATCTAAGATATACAGTATTGATAGAGGACTACTAGAGGATTGTAATAGTAAATATATGACCCATCGATATCAGCCTATGGTATATAAAAATAAGAGAATACATCATCATGAAATTAAAAAAAAATAAAATTTCAACTCGGACTTTTAACTGTTCGGACTATAGGTGAGCACATAAGTTTATACGTATACTGATATAGTTATTTGAAAAAAAATGGTGAAAGAAACGATTCAACAATCAACATCTCCAACAGTAAATTATCTTTTGTTTTATGTTAATGGAAAACAAATTATTGAATATAATGTTGAACCTAATTGGACTCTTCTTTGGTATCTTAGAAATAGTAAGTATTTTTCAATGAAATTCTTATTCATCTATATTTATATATGTACATATAAAGAATTGAATTTGACTGGATCGAAATTGGGTTGTGGTGAAGGCGGATGTGGTGCATGTACAGTACTTATATCTCAATGTCTTGATCGACATTCAGGTTATATTGATCATCGAACTGTTAATGCTTGTCTTGTACCGATTTGTTCTGTCGATGGATGTCATATAATAACAGTCGAAGGATTAGGTTCAGTTGCTAAATCAAATCTTCATCCAACACAATCACGTCTTGCTGAATTGTTTGCTTCTCAATGTGGTTTTTGTACACCTGGTATTGTTATGTCATTATATGGAATTGTAACATCATCAGATCATCTTCATTCATCATTAACATTACAAGATATTGAAGATGCATTTGATGGAAATCTTTGCCGTTGTACTGGTTATCGACCTATTCTTGATGCTGCAAAAACATTTGCAAAAGATATTAATAATTTTTTACCCAGTAAAGATTCCTTAATATCAAAACCAACATCAACAACATTGGATAAATGTCTTTCGTATGTTAAAAAAGCTGATAAAGACTTAAAACATATAGATTTTCCGAAAGAATTACGTCAACATATTCCTCAATCAATTTATATAAAAGGTTTGTTAAATATTATTTAAATAATTGCATAAATTTATTTTTTATACAGGGTCATCCGTTGAATGGTATCGCCCTGTTACGTTGAATGAATTACTTTATCTTCGTTCAATTTATCCTGGTGATGTATCAAAACTTGTTTTTGGTAATACAGAAGTTCAAATTGAAACAAAATTGAAACATTTGAAATATCCACGTTTTATATCTGTAACACATATTGAAGAACTTCAACAACTTAAACGCACATCAATATCATTAATTCTCGGTGCTGGTATTACATTAACACATTTACAAGCTAAACTTACTGAATGGAATGATCGAAAACTTGATGGTGGAATATGTCAAGCTCTTATTGATCAATTAAAATATTTTGGATCGACACAAATTCGAAATGTTGCTTCACTTGGTGGAAATATTGTTAATGCATCTCCTATGTAAAAATTATTTTTAAATATTATGAATACGAATATTTCTTTTTGTTAGTTCGGATGTTAGTCCAATTCTTCAAGCTGCTAATGCTCTTTTAGAATTTCATCGAACAGAAACTAATTTAATCCGATTTGTATCATTACGAGAATTTTTCTTAGATTATCGTCGTGTAGCAATGACTGATGATGAAGTACTTGTTTCTATTCATATTCCACTTCCATCATCATCGAATAAAACATTTCTTCGTTCATATAAACAAGCACGTCGTCGAGATGATGATATTGCTATTGTTAGTGCTGGTTTGCATGTCGAACTTGAATCGATCAATTCAACAGATAAACAACAATGGCGTATAGTTTGTGCACGTTTTTCATTTGGTGGAATGGGACCAATAACAATGTTAGCAAAAAATACTGAACAACAATTAATCGGACAAATATGGACAAAAACAACTATTAATAAAGCATGTGAATTAATATTGAAAGAAATGCCATTAGATGAATTGACTCCGGGTGGTCAACCAGAATACAGGTATTTATTGAATCATCCAAGAAAAAAAAAGGAAATTTTGTTTTAGACGTACATTAGTTCAATCATTTCTTTTCAAATTTTATGTTTATGTTTGTTCTGAATTACATCAATCATTGATTGATTCAAAAGTACTTTCAATTGCACATTCATATCATCGACCAGTATCTCATGGTCAACAAATTATTCCTAAACGACCATCTTCACAAAAAATTGTTGGAACATCATTACCTTATCGTTCAGCTTATTTGCAAACAACAGGTGAAGCGAAATATACGGATGATATGCCTTCATTAGTTAATACTCTTCATGCTGCACTCGTACTTGCAACAGAACCAAATGCTCGAATTAAGAGTATTGGTAAGAGATAAATAATATATTTTCATTTAAATGATAATAATATATTCTTGTTTTTACTTTGAAATAGATCTTAGTGCAGCTTCAAAAGTACCTGGTTTTGTTTCATTTGTTAATCATAAAGATATTCCAGGCAACAATATGACATGTAAAGTTTTCTATGATGAAGAAATATTTGTTTCATCAATCACACCATGTATTGGTGCTATTATTGGCGTAGTTTTATGTGAAACGGAACAAGCAGCTTATGCAGCTGCTCATCTTGTTCAAATTGAATATGAACTTTTGACACCAACAATTTTTACAATTGATGATGCTATTGCACATCAATCTTATCTAGGTAATGAACGACGTCTTCGACAAGGTGATGTTGACAAAGGTTTTGCTGAAGCTGAACAAACTCTCGAAGGAACAATATTAATTGGTGGTCAAGAACATTTCTATTTGGAAACACAGTGTTGTATGGCTATACCATCTAATGATGATCAAGAACTTATATTATATTCATCAACACAAGATCCAACTAGAACACAAGAACTGACTGCCTTAGCACTTGGTTATGAATCTAATCATGTTAGATGTCATGTCAAACGTATAGGTGGAGGATTTGGTGGAAAAGAATCAAGATCGTACGTTAAATAAACCTAACAATTATAATATATTCTTAGATTTTTTAAATATAGAATCATTCCTGCTATAGCTATAGCAGTGACTGCTGTAAAAGCTGGTCGTCCTGTTCGTTTAAATATGGAACGTGATATTGATATGTCTGTTACTGGTCAACGTCATCCATTTAAAATTCAATATAAAGTTGGCTTTACAAATGATGGACAATTGACAGCACTTGATATTCGTTTATGGTGTAATGCTGGATGTTCACTTGATCTTTCACAAGCAGTTATGGATCGAGCAATGCTTCATATCGATAATACTTATCGATTTCCAAATATTGAAGTACGTGGATATTTATGTAAAACACATTTACCATCTAATACAGGTTTGTTTTTTCTTTCAAAGAGTTTATTGAAATTTATTATTTCTTTTTTGTTTTAGCTTTTCGTGGTTTTGGTGGTCCACAAGGTCTTTTTGGTTGTGAAACAATTATTGATCATGTTGCGACACATCTTAAAGTTGATCCATTGATTATTCGTCGTTTAAATATGTATAAACAAGGAGATTTAACACATTTTAATCAACCATTAGAACGATGGAATGTTCCTCGATTAATGGATGAACTTCTTAAATCAAGTGACTTTTTTCAACGAAAAAAAAATATTGAAGAATTTAATCAATTAAATACTTATAGAAAACGTGGTATAACTATTCTTCCAACAAAATTTGGTATTGGGTTTGCAGCAAAATGTTTTAATCAAGCAGGAGCTTTAGTTCATATTTATAAAGATGGTTCAGTATTACTTAGTCATGGAGGTATGAGAAAGAAAATAAAAACCGTTCTTTAGAAATATAGTTTTCTGAAATTTAGGCACTGAAATGGGCCAAGGTCTTCATACGAAAATGATATCTATAGCTGCTGAAGTTTTAGGTTGTGATGTTAATCGAATATGTATAAGTGAAACAGCAACGGATAAAGTACCTAATACAAGTCCAACAGCAGGATCAGTTTCATCGGATTTAAATGGTATGGCTATTCAAATTGCATGTGTACAAATACGTGAACGACTAGATAAGATTCTTGCTGAGAATGATGGCAATCTTTCATGGGAAGATCTTATTAAAAAAGCATATTTTTCACGTATTGATTTATGTGCACATGGTTTTTATGCAACACCTGAACCAATAGGTGCAGATTTTCCGAACAATCGAGCAAATTATAATTATTTTACACAAGGTGCAGCAGTAACTGAAGTGGAATTGGATACATTAACAGGTGATTGGCATATTTTACGTGTAGATATTCTTATGGTAAATATGTCGTCAAACGTGATCGGTTTTTTTAAACTATCTTTTTGTAATTATAGGATGTTGGTACATCACTCAATCCTGAAATTGATATTGGTCAAATTGAAGGTGCCTTTATACAAGGTATGGGTTTATTTACAATGGAAGAACTTATTTGGGGTGATCATACACAACATAAATGGACAAAACCAGGTAGTTTATGTACTCGTGGACCAGGCACATATAAAATTCCATCATTTAATGATGTTCCACTTGATATGCGTGTGGAACTTCTTTCTGATGCATCAAATCCTCGAGCTATTTATTCATCAAAAGGTATTGGTGAACCACCACTTTTTCTTGGTGCTTCAGTGTTTTTTGCACTTAAAAATGCTTGTATGGCTTATCGAGAACAACAAGGTTATTCAGGATATTTTCCATTAAATTCACCAGCTACTGTTGAACGACTTCGTATGGCTTGCACTGATGAATTTACTGAACGAGCATGTGTTAATAAACATGAAACATTTCAAGCTAGAGGTTCTTATTGAATGTTATTCGATTATTTTTATATTTTATAATGAATTGATTAATTTTGTAATTTAAAAAAAAACATCATGATTTTTTTCAATTTCATTTGTACATAAATAAAAACAATGAATAAGAATGTTATTTCATTAGACTAGAAATAAAATATTTGATATGTATTACTGTTAAAAGGAAAAAAAATCTTGTTATCACGTTTTCTTCAGGGGGCCCCGCTACAAAAACCAACGGTTGATATATACATGTCAGGTCAGAAAATAAAATTAGTGAATACATTCAAATATTTGGGTTTCACTTGGACCAACAAACTTTCACTAAAACCCACCGTAAATAGATGCTTAGAGAACATTCAGAAATTCCTACGTAAGCTGAAATGGCTGAGATCAGGCAAAACACTGCCCATAGAAATATTGAGAAGAGTTTTTTTTGCCTACTCCTTTCCGCACTTCGCATGGATCTTTCCCTTTTCCCCCTTTCTTCCACAAACCCAGAAAGAAGAGCTAGAAAGTAAATTCAGAGCTGCATTATGCCTTGTCCATCATGCTCCACATGTCAGTGTCGCAAATCTGTTTACATTTACACATGAACAACCTCTCACAAGCTATGTCCAAAGGTTCATTCTTAAAAGATTAAAACATATTTACTCAACCGATTTAGGTTCATCCTTATTTGTTGAAGATATTTTCTTCTGAGAAAATTTTCATAAAACGCCCAACGATGAAGTTGGACATCTCTTCACGTTGAAAAAAGTCAAGCAACTTAAAATTAAACATCACTCTCTCCTCCTAACCTGACTAGATTTCGTCAAATAGTCGATTATTCCCTATAGTCATTATCCATGTCTCATCACTGTCATAAAGCCTGGTACCCAGTATTTCTAAAAACTTGTGGCCTGTAAAGCCTTAGCATCAGGTTCTTCTCTACAGTTCTATCACTTCATCTTTCTTCATTTGTTTTTCTTTTCTCATTCTCTCCTCTCGTCTACTTCTTCCTGACCTTCTCCTGTCTTTTCTCCTTTAAACATTTATCTTAAAACTTCTCATTATTTTACTGTTACACCTAACTAGGATTACATGTTTTTGTTTTCTCATTCTATATTGTTGACCTTTCATTCAATCTCTCTACCTATTATCTCCATGTGCCCTTTCGCTTAATCCATTATCCCTTGTAAGCACTTACAAGTGTTACAATAAAATATGCATTGACCAAAAAAAAAAGAAGTGTGTATGTAGCTTTGATTCTTTCTTCATCACATAGCGCACAAAATTTTACATCTTTTCCATCTTTATTCTTTGAAAAGAGTAAACTGTGTTCGTTGCATTGCACGAGTCATCCTTAGAGAGAGAGCAAGCAAAAGTTTCTTAATGCACATACTTTCTCATAAGTTTTTTTTTGTGAAGAGACAATGTGTTTACACAGTAAACATTTGAGTAGCTGCTTTTAGTTGTGCAGAAAATAGTTCAAGAAGCAACCGAAAAATGATGCATTTTGTTGACTACTGGCAGTTGGTTTTTTCCACCTTCGAGAAATAAAAGCAGCACAAAGTCAATACTCAGATGAAGTGAAATCGAATGAGCAAGTATTGATAATCATGCTATAGTATTTCCGACGCTCTTATGAAAGCTAAATTTTGTGACATTACTGTGCAGAGTAACAACCACCAGTGTTAAATCATACTCGCAAAGTCTTCCACATGTTTTGATCATCAAGTCATTTTTCAACAAGATACTCTTGTACTTCAAAACATTTTGCAAGACTACCAACGATAATATCACTGTCCTTCGTATTTTTCAGCTAAAATATAGAATATATGATCAAAACAAGTTTTCTTGGATGTGTATAAATAGTACAAGCTTAAACGTTTATAATACATATATAAATTTAATATGAAGACACAAACTATTCATATACTTTCTGAATCTTTTCAACACATTCTTGAATGACATTTAATTAGAAGATATTGTAAATTTCGAATATCACAACGTGAACTAGAGAATGCGATCGACGAAATTTGCAGTATCTTCTCATTAAATGTTATTCAAGACTGTGTTGAAAAGATTCAGAAAGTATATCAATAGGTTGCATCTTCATATATTCTATATTTAAGATGAAAAATACGAAGGACAGTAATTTTGTCATTGGTAGATAGAATTAAACGTGTTTGTGATGTTATCTATATGCAATGGAAACGAAACGATTTTTTTTCTTATTTTTAAATAAACTAAGCGATTTACAAGTTTCCTTCACTTTTCTTTAGTTATATTAGCAGAATTATAATCATCTCATATACCTATTCTTTCGAATAGTTGAAACTGATGCTTCAAATCAATTGATATTGACAAATTATTGAATAATAGGATATCTTCGGTCTTTGCTAAGGTTTTTTATCGAATTCTTTCAGGTTAGTATAAACGAATTAATATGACACTATTCTATAGATAATAATTCTCTTAGCAATGATTTCACGATGACGACGCGAATAACTAATCGTTAAGACATTCACATGTATAATTGAGTAAAAATTGGTCGACAAACACTATTATTCATCATAGATTGACAATGAATACGTTGCCAGCCATCTTTACAGATACAATTAAATATTGTATTTAATATTTCATTACATGAACATGCGAAGAAAAAACATTTTATAATTTGTTGTTCATATAAATTATGGATTGTTAGAAACATTATAATGAAGACCAATATATGCTAAAGCATGGCAAGGTCGTGGAACAGATGAAAACGTTTACTGTGATACTAAAAAGTCAAGAAAAAATTAGAAATGCACTAACGAAAAATATTATAAAAAAAATATTTACTGATAAATTCAACTGTTGACATTGTTTCGGTGATTGTTATCGTAGTTGTTGTCTTTGGAAAAAACCTTGATTCTAGAGCTGATTGGATGATTTCATTTATGATGAGGTACCTTAGTAATGACCAATGATATGAAAGCTCAGCTTTGATCTCAAAACCTGTCTACGAGATTAAAAATGCAGTCAACGTCAAAAGTCTCGCATCACTTTCTGGTTTTAAGTATTATAACCACATAACATTAATTTAATTTGATCATATACGTGTGTACTAGGAATGAGAAGCTAACTATAACTAAATATTAATTTATTCTCCAGTTGTTTTGATCATAATTTCTTAACCACTCGAAACTAGAACAGAAACTGAACCAAAAAAAATACACAAAATGCATGTTAGTTTTTATCAAACATTATCATTTGTCTTTTTTTCTTGAGGAAGTTGTCTGAAAACGTTTCAAGAGTCTTATTCATGCTCGTAGTGCAACCTGATGAGCTTTACAACATGCCTTTCATAAGGTGTGGGTGTGGGTGTGGGTGTAGTCTTTCTTATCAACCGCACCCACACCCACACCCAAGTATGTAGAATAGAGATTGTAATGGTTTTATTTTGCGAATAGTCATTAATGATATTGTTGGGTGTGAAGGTGTGGATGAGGGTACGACTGTAGCTGTTCTACCAGCCATACTCACATCCACACCCGACACCGTGACGCATACACCCACGCACACACAACCACATCCACTGTTGAAAAAGACCACTTAAAAAGCATAAGCTCTAAAATCTTTTCTGTTTTTTTGTTGACTTTGGTTAAAATAAATGTTATTTTGATAGGGAACAGTGATGAGTCCTATAGCTTCGTACATTTTGTGTGATCGAAATCAAGAGCACTGAATCCTATATGTTTCTCGACTTATACATATTTTAATACATAGCTATTCGAAAATACGTAATGCTCTCTGCTTCATTTGTTACATGAATTTTAACAATATTATCATTAATAATTTACTAACTTTTGCCTATCTTTTGAATTTGTACCATTTTACTGAAACATTAATTATCGAAATAAAACAAATGACTTTTTCTTTCTCAATTGTCTATTGATTTTTTACAGGCATACAAAAACTACATATGCAAACGCTATCAGTTTACTTTACAAGTGATAAAAGAATGGAATGTATATATTTACAAAAATAGTTTAGAAAAGAAATACATGAATACTGATGCAAAATATGATGTTACTCCACAACAATTATAGTTCATTACCTTCACCTTTTCTTAAATTTCATAATCTTAGAAAAAAAACTCCTAGAATTTTTCATTACCTTTCATTATAAGTCTTAGATCAATATTGTCTATTTCTGTTCCACAATGAAGCGGTAAATTCATATTCTAATTTAAATTTATTATGACTTATTTAACTACGATCAAGACCAAAACACGAATTGTTTTACCAGTATAATTTCATCGTTCTTCCTCGAGTAATTCTTCGGATTGAAGGTGAACTGAATTGTTCTCGTACAAAAAAGCAATAATAAATTAATTATGAATTGACATAAGCAGCATAATCATCTATTCACTGAACGAGGGGCGTATCCAAAGGGAGAGGGATGCCAAGGGTATTTGGGCACTCTTCTTGACTGGAAAACACCTGTAGAGGGTTCAAATGAAAAATTTTTTCAAGAAAGAGAAAGTTATTTTGCTGCTGGTGTGTACTGCCCACAATTAGTCTGGGACCCCTTTAGAAGATTTCTGGGTACCCGACTATACCAAATTGTAATGATCAAAGCCATAATATATTAGCATTTCATATTTCAATAGATGGCAAAAAATATTAAAACATTTTATACTGACAGAACTCACTTTTATTCCAAATAACAACAAAATAATAATGGCTCTCTATATGTCGGGTTGAAAGTTACACATTCAGATCATATCACCACTAATTTCAAATAATTTTGTGAATAAGCTCTAGTGATTTTTCATTTCAGCATCTGAACTTGGAAAATCTCCTAAAAGAATATTGATGATTCATATGAATTTTACTTTCTGCGAAAATTCTATTTAAATAAAAGCAGTTTTCAAGCCTGCGATACATATTATACTTATGATGAAGGAAGTATAAGGTATAATAGTCAGGAAAAGGTATTTAGAAGCAATTATTTTAATGGGGTATTCGTAATTTATGAGAACACCACAAACACCCAACTTTGTAAAATCACATATAAGTCACCTTTACGAACACCCACATCTTGAAGAGTTATGTACACAAACACCCACGAACACCCACTTTCTACGAGTCATAAGAAAAAACAAACGTCAACAAACACTAAAAAATGACTCCCCTTAACACTAACACCCAGAATCTCTCTTATATTCCACACGAACGCCCACAGAACTCCATAACCTACATTTTGACACGAATATGTGCCATCCCCGAATAGATTTTTATAAGGAACTTTTCGTTGGAAACACATGAGATCGGTCTAAGTGTGTCAACTTACACCTACTAACATCCAAAAGGTCTGTAATAACAAGTCGATAACACTCAACTTACCTTCACTAACACCCACAGATCCATGTAATCTAGTGATTGATATATGATTAAACTAGTGTTGCAGGTAAATTTATCTTCAAAACACATCTCTATATGATAAAAACTCATAAAATAAGCAGAAATGCATAAAAACAAAAAAAAAATATATAAAAACATTTGTTAATGTTGAGTTAAGTTATAAAAACAATCTAATAGACCCAAATAGAATGCTCTAATAAAAAGAGAAAGCTATAATTCAATCTCGAACATACAATTCGAAATACTTTCTTATGTTATAGATAAAAATAAATGGATAATAATGTAAAGTACATAAAACATCAAATAAAATTTAAAAACATCTAAAATATTATTATTTTTTTCGACATAATCCATAACACATGATATTTTCATGCCTATTTCGCAGACACCATCATCAGACAAAAGAACCAACAATACAAACTATTCACACTTATCTATAATATGAAAAATATACAGCAATCAAACGGATGTCTTTATTTTTATTAGCTTGGCGCATAAGTTCTGCACGTTTTTGTTTTTTGGTCCAACAACAAATTTATTTTTCAACAAAGATATTCTCTTTTCGTTATATATGTATTTCTTTCGTTCTTCTGTTTTCTTTCATCTCACTACTATACATTTATTTCTGTTCTCTCAAGGTCAAACAAACATCGATATTGACCTTGATCTTTCCTGCTTACTACGTAATAACATTCCTATTGCATATTTTGTATTTTGTGAGACTCTGATCGTTATATAAATACATATATCCTCTTCTATTCTGTTGTTATCTTGTTTCGAATTAAATGGATGAACAAAAAATTCATATTCGGCACTGTATGCTCTACGAGTTCGATCAACGCTCAACAGCAGCCGAAGCAGCAAGAAATATGTGTGATACACATGGGGAGAGGGTGTGGGTGTGGGTGTGGGTATGCATAGTAAAGAGAAGACTGATACTCACACCCACACCCACACTCACACACCCATACCCACTCACCCCCATCCCCACCCCCACACCCACCCACACCCACACCCACACCCACACCCACACCCACACCCACACCCACACCCACACCCACACCCACACCCACCCACACCCACACCCACACCCTTATGAATGTGATAGCTCTTTGATGGGGTGTGGAATGGGTGTGGGTGTGGATATGGGTGGGTGTGGGTGTGGGTGGGATGGGTTGGGTGAGTGTGCGGGTGTGGGTGTGAGTGTCGCTATTATATCTTGACCTATACCCACACCCATACCCACCCATACATCCACATGGCAGTGGAGGTCGCAACAGTTAATGCTATGTCCTGATTTTCTGATTTTTTTCCCGTTTACTATAACGAAACTCTACGTTGTATGTTATAATGATATTTTAATCCGTTTTTTTTTGAGGATCTTGGATGAGTGGGTGACGCGTCCGCAATTGGTGTATAATACAACCACCTTTTAATGTGTCTATTTTGTGCTTGGCGTTTACATGAGGGAGGTTCGTTTCAGAACATATAATATGTGAAAAAGAAGGGTAACTAAACTGACTTGTGTGCAATGTGGAGAGTCTTAAATAGACTAATTTCGACGGAAATAAATTTCTGACAATCGAAATGACAAGATGGAAACGACAAAATCGAATCGTGTCAAAGGACCAATTGCACTTCTTAACGATCCCGTTTGGCTGATATGAATATGTGAGAAATATTTTTCTACAGACCAAGAAGTTGATTTTATCTCTTAAATGCCTGCTAAACTAGAAGTGATCCTTCTTGTATCTGCTGGTAAAAGGTAAGCGAAAGAAAAGTGTAACATATTTCTAAAAATTAGTAGTGCGAAACAATTTAACAAGAGAAGTTTTAGATATTTTTCTATAATCAGTAGTGTTATATTTTACATCCGTCATAAAATCATATATGTTGTTTTTAAAAATGCTTTGAAATACTTTAAAAGCAAAGAAATAGGTAGTAAATTTTCTTTTTTGCAATCTTACCTTTGTGAGTAGAAATTACTGATTTATTATGTTATGGCTACAATGAAAATTTTTCTCGCTTTTATACCTAATAGCAGATTTTCCCGGAAGAACTCCGTCTGTCACCAGAGAAAAACCTATTTTCTTTTTGCTTACCCGAGAAAAAGTAGTGTAAGCAAGAGATTATCAGCGAGTATGTTTGTTTTCTCTTAAGGAGAATGGACGGCAATGAGTCACTTTTGAACGCATAATTGTACGTGTCGTTTTCTGAAACTTATAGTGGGAATTTTCCAACTGAATAGGAAAAAGTCAACTAACAAACATATTGTGTAGTACAGTTAAATAATATAGAAAAGATGATCATCCTTGCCATATATTCGATATACATGCATAATCTTAAAATCACAAAACTTGTCTGTCGATGATGTCCTTGCTATAAAGTCAAATAAGGATATAATATGGCTATAGCACGATATTGAGATTCAGCGCTGGAACCGGTCCAGCCGAACCGAGTCAGTAGAAACCGGAAACTCACCGGTTGAAATTTTAAAAATTTCTTCATTTTGCTCTCTCTTTTTATCAAAAACATACTTTATGAGTTTTGCTATCAAGTAGAAGAAATTATGCGCTATCGATATATCTCTGGAAAGTCTTTCGAAACTGTCGGCAATAAACAAGTTTAATCAGTATAGGATGAATATTGGTAGCAATCATAAACGCACCAGCATGGAATAATATTTCTTTTTCAGAAGAGAAATCAACGAACATATGGGCGTGGGTGTGGGATGTGGATGTGGGTGTGGGTATGGGTGTTGTTCTGTTCCTGTATTTATGCAGACACCCACACCGTCACATGCCCACACACACACACACCCTCAAGATAGGGTTTTATTCATTATTCCATTGTATCTAAGCTGATTGATGCTGAATTAGTGCTTGCAAGCAATATTTATCGTGGCTCATATGTGCTCAAAATATCAACCCAAAATCATAAGAAATGAAATCGCTTCTGGGCATCAGCTGCTTTCTCCAAAACTGTATGAGTTATGCTAAAGAAAATTGTTTTATTATTTATTGATCATCTATAAGAAAGTTATACTGTTTTAAGTGAATCGTATTTCGTTTTTTCTCATCATCGTATTTAACAGATTCAACTTGAAAATGAAAAGGAGGAGATAATAAAACTTCTTCTTCGTGAGGAACATATGAATATTGTGAAATATCCATAGCAGGTGGAGCATTTTTTTTTTCTGCGGCAATGATATATAAAACAATGTATTCGCTCCGTAAAATTCTGCTATGGCTAAGCTTTTTGTTGTCGATACAAAGGTTTTCCAGTGAAGAAGTTCTTTGACACCTTCCACAAGTTTATACTGGTCCACTTGGCCAATACTTAAATTCATTGCTCTAAAAACAGTTTTTGAATAGCGACAGACATCAGGTAAATTAAATAATCCTTCGTATCCTAATAAATGAGCAAATGTACCCAATGTTTCACGTTTATCTAAATCATCATCTCGTAATGTTTTGTTCAATAGTTTGTATAGAAAACTTTTTCGAGTATGTAACGCTATACAACGCTCAACAATTTCTTGTTTACTTTTATATTTGTCTTCCAGTAAATAATTTGCTATCCATTGAGCTTCATTACTATGACCAAGTTTTTCACCTTCTAACAAAATACCCGCGGCAGCTTGTCCAATTGATTGTGGCATGTCAACAAAATATTCTTGTTGCCATGAACATGCAAAATGGCGTATTGATCTGTCAATACCATAGTCAAATGAAATGTCATCTGCCATCTCAGATAATTTCTTTAGTATTGGACAGAATCCTTCTTTTCTAAGACGTTTCGGTACATTTTCCATTCTTTTTATTGAATATTGTTTTAATTTATCATGTTTCATTGTCATAATTGAGTTTTTTAAATCGATCACAGATAAATCTAACTCTACGTCTCCGTTTTCGTTATTAAAAGCATATTCAATTATTTCGCATTCAATATCAGAAAATTCTTCCCATTCTGTTGTTTGTGTTTTACTATAATACCACGAAGTTCGAGCTGAAGGATGTTTTCGATCAATATGAATCAATTCATTTAGCCTTTTCCGTGACGATTTTTTCCTTTTTTGTTTGCTAGAATCACAGCTTCTAGAATGTTGCATAACAATATGATAGTAGAGTATATATGCATTGAGTCAACTACTTCTTTTTTTATGTAAAATCAATAAGAAAAAGTAAAACAAGCAAGACTATATATATATAAACAGTTTCTCTATTAATGTTGACATAGTAGAAAAAAATGATTTTATTACTTGTACCGATTTCATTCCTTTCTTTCTGTCAGATGTGGTGACTTTTTTTTATTCAAGTCAATGTCGAAACACTTGAAATTCTTTGAGCAGAAAGTCTGTCATTTCATTTGTTTATAAATAATATCAAGAGAAGTGACTTCAAATAAAAAAAGGGACATAAGAAACCATAAAATGAGTTGATATGACTGATGTAGGGGCTTAATTTCTGTTAATACCGTGTGATTTGTATTGTTTTGATAAATACCTTATTTCAGATTTTGTCTGGGAATCTATCGTTTATGTCAGATGAGAATGGCGAGGGTTGTGAGCGTGGATGGTTTTCGGTGTTTGCGTGGGTGTCACCGTAACCGAAGGTATTGCAGTGTGCATCAGAATGAGTGAGGATGTGTGGCTGAGTGTGAGTTTGGATGATACTGTGCAAGAACACGTGGGTAGGAGTATGAGTGAGAGTGTCGCATGTGCGTGTGTGAGCCAGAGATGGTGTGCATGTGGACGTGGCTGTGAGTTCGCCTGTGCGTTTTGACGAAGATATGAAAAAGGATTGGGGTAAGTGGTGGTGCCTGTGTCCGCATGACTGTAGGTGTGGATGCATAAATTTGTTACTCATTCGCACCAACATCCAAATCAACACCTAAACTCACACCTTTTCACACCCACACCCACATATCCAGATGCACATACACACATCTATACCCACAGTTACCCCCATCCACCCCAACCACACCCCACACCCACACTCCCATATTTTGGTTTATTATGAAGAGATTCTGAAACAAGTTGTATAACTTGTTGAATTTCATTTTCAGTTACATCTAATTTACGATTCTTTTTGATGAACAATAATAAGATGAAGTAGTGAAGTTGAAATGTCAAATATAAGTTTCATTGAAAGAGCTGTTTTTTTTCCATGGATAATCAATTGATACTTCTATATTTTGTTTAGTCATTACTGTTTGCGTCAATGAAAGATTACTATGAATAATGTGATTGTTTGACATCATTATATTTTCTGTTCTTTATCGAATAATTCATATGTGAAGTAGACTGGAACGAAAGAATACGACAAAATAGAATAACTGCTATTGCCTAACAGACAAACCGTACATCGATATGAGTTCGCTTATTCATATTTTATGAAACGATTATTTAAGCATTATACAAATATTTCATGAAAATGATTCTCAATAACTTAACTAATAGAACAAAAGATGTTAAATACAGGATCAATGTTATTATTATTTTATTGTAAAAAATTATCGAATAAGTTTTATATCCTCCTTCGAGAAGAAAAAACAGTCATATAATGCATGAATTCATATCCAGAGAATTAGACAATTTTTACGAAAGCATCGTTTAAGTTATGTTGAAATCCTACTCGTATTGATGGATTGAGGATGAAAATGGAATTTTAGAAATCTAGTAAATTTATCTTTAGAATAAAACGTATTGGTAATTTCTCTCTGAAGTTTTTTTTTATTATTGAGCTTTATTAGATAAAGAAATGAGAATTACATTATTTAATTTATTTATATTAAACACTAAATTAATCAAAAGAGAATAAAAAAAGCACACACATTTGAAACAAGTAGATAAAAGAAAAAAAAAGAAAATGTCCGATTCTTATTTTGTTTTACAATTGTCTTGAAAGTACAGTTTGTTGAAGATTATTTATTGGCATAGGTTTAACAATTGATTCATTTATGAATTGAACTTTCATTTCACTTGCAATTTCTTTTAATACTTTACTTAATGCATTAATAACAGTATCAACTTGTTCTAATGTTATTGTTAATGGTGGTTCAATACGTATTGTTTTAGCATTAACTAATGTACCAGCAACAAGAATTTTTTCTCGAAATAAACCTTTTGCAACACGAAAACCAATGTCTGTATCAGGAAATTCTAAAGCTAACATTAAACCTTTACCACGAGCATCAAGTGCTATATGTGGTGTATATGGTTTAATAGTTGATTTAAGTTTACTTAAGAATATATCACCTACAGTTCGTGCACGTTCACACAAACCTTCTTCAAGTAAAACATTGATTGTTGCAATGGCAGCTGCACATGCCAATGGATTACCACCAAATGTTGTTGTATGTAAAAATGGATTTGAAAATATTGGTGTCCATAATTTTTCTGAACCAATAAAAGCACCTTAAAAAAAAGAAGAAAGATAAATAATAAAAATTTCAAATTGAATTATTCAATCAATTAATTTACCTGCTGGCATAATTCCACCACCGAAAGCTTTTCCCAAACATAATATATCTGGTTCAACATTCCAATGTTCAACGCAAAACATTTTTCCTGTTCGTCCCATACCAGTTTGAACTTCATCAGCAATTAATAAAGCACCATATTTATCACATAACCGACGTACACCCGGAAAATAATCATCACTTGGTACAATTATACCACCTTCACCAAGTATTGGTTCAAGTAAGACAGCAGCTAAAA